GCAGCGCCGCCGGCGCCGAGAGCCGCGGGCGGCCCGGGGCGGGAGGCAGCGCGGCCGCCATCACGGGACGGGGCGAGCGCGGCTCGGCCCCGCAGCAGGTGCCTCCAGCCGCGCCGGGCGGTTGTTTTCCTTCCCCCCAGGAAATAACGGCGCTTTTTATTATTATTATTATTATTGGTTTGTTTTTTTGGTGCAGACTCCAAGATGAGGAAGGTGCTGTGGGTGGAGCCCGTCATCTTCGTGTACACGTTCGCGTCGTCGCTGACGAGCCCGCTGGCGCAGCAGTTCCTCTACGGGCGCCTCTGGCAGGAGCAGCACAACGGCAGCCAGGCGGGCAACGGCAGCGGCGGCCGCTGCGAGCCCAACGGCAGCAGCCCGGCCTACCACCAGCAGAAGGTAGGGGTGGCGGAGAAAGGGAAAAAAAAAAAACACGTAAAAATCCGCCACGGAGACCTCGCAGCGCCAGAATGACCCACGTCCATGTGTGTGCGCTGYGTGGTGGCTGCTGGAGTGCTTGGATGGCTGGTCTGCAAAAATCGGCTCCTAAGAGATCCTTCTTTAAACTCAGCTTTGGCCAAGGGGTTCAAAATCACCCCGTGGGATGGGGCTCCGCGTTGGGCTCCTTGGTCTTACCTCATGAAGGGAAGGGTTGGCCACGGTTGGTGTTGAGGTTGTGCAGGTGTTGGGAGCCCTCGGGAGGCTCTGTGGCCTCTGCTGCCCCGTGTAACCGTGGAAGTTGGAGCAGATGTCTCGGAGTCACCAGGGATGTCATCCAGTTTGAAAGGGGCTTCATGCAGCGGACTTGCAGGAATGAAGGATGGGGGAAGGAAAATATCACAACTGCGTCACTTTGCAGGGAAAAATAGTAAGATTGAGCCGATCTTTGCACAGTCAAATTTGATCAATGATTTACCATTCCTAACAGTATTTTTTCTGCCTGATTAAATACAAGTATGACAAGATGGGAGCATCCTGTGGATAATTACACTTTAAATATTTTTTCATACTTTAGCTTGATGAATACCGATATGTTAATTGGAATTTTCTCCTGTTGCAGTTCTCATGTTGTATTTAAGCCCAACTAACTGTGGGYTGCCGTTAGAAAAGATGATCATACCACCCTTACATTATCTTTTCTCTCCTTGTGTTGGGTCTAGCAGCTATATGGGTTGGTTCTACTCAATAATTCAACTGAAAACACCTCTTTTTTGAGTACTTTTTCTGAATTAGCAAACTGCTCTCAGACAATCTGCGACCATGTGATTGCTACCTGCAACACAGAGGATGGCAGAGGTAAAATATTTGCACAAGAGGTAAAATAGAACCATCCCAGCAACAGCCAGTTAGATCAGAGTAAGTGGAATGTGAAACTGCCCCTCAGAGTTAGAAAGCCAGATGATTAGGAGTATAAATTACACAGAAATTGAGTTAATGGGACACTGTCTGTTGGTTTTCTCCTATGCTGCTGAAAGTGATTGCTGCAGTGATGCAGGTGGCACTTTATGATTTTCCTTATATCCTGAATTTGAATCTCTGACACGCTGCATGTGCATGAGACTAAATGCCTGASTTTGCTTGCCTCATTTGTCACGTATAAAGGACATTTTTAAATGCCACATAGGGACTCCATATGGTCAAAGAGATTGCTCAGAATTTTTAGCACMGGAGTAGATTATTCCTCGTTTGATAAAAGCCTGTGATAGTAGCTAGGAAATGGAGGCAAAAAGGTAAACAGAATTCCAGAGTAGTGCTGACTGATCAGGCCAGGAACTGATTAAAACCAGTCCCATGATAGGCAGAACCCAGTGGGTCTTCCTCAAGTGTACAATTTTTACTAATTAAACACCAAGAAAGCATTGTTCATGACAACAAATGCTCTTGAGAAGAGCATCAGAGCTTGCATATGGTTGCGTGTGGGATGCTCCTTTAGMTATGTAGAATGAGATATGAGATGGGGCTGGGCTGGGGGACGTTTATCACAAGAGCTCTGCCTAATGTCATTCAAAGCAAACTCAACCAACCTCAGGCTTATGTCCTTTTATCTGTGGTGCCAAATGGAAAAGCAACTTGGGAACTTACATATCTCTAGAGCGCAAAAGGAGGTGGACACAGGAACTGTCAAGCCTTAAAGGCAGAAAAGGTTCCTAACAAGAAAAAAAAAAAAGAAAAAAGTTTCCGTGGCAAATAATTTTCCACTGGAATCGTTCAGTCTTCTTCTGAGAATACCCAATATGTTTTGGTGGGTCTGGAGGCTGTGGATAACAGTGAGTCAATGAAGGGGTTGTTGTCTTGATAAGGCTTGTAAATTATTCCCCCAAACTGTGTTTCTTTAGTATTAGCTAATGCTCCTCTGGTGCATTGTCATATGATGTCATGTCTGAGTGGAAATAACATGCTTGGGGCATCTAATCCCAAAGGCAGACCCCATGGAGAAATTTACATTTCACATTTTTGCACTTAGCATTTTCTAAATTCTACTTGGTTTCCAAATTGTGATTGCATGTACTCAGGATGTAAGACTGGATATTCCTTTTTGCAAAACATTAAAGCAGAGTGCTTATTTTCAGCTGAATTTTAGATAGCGTCTCTAAAAGATGTGATGGTGAATTTACACATAACTGTGGCTTTTGTTTTGGCACAACAAATAATATAATTAACTTTATATTTAAGAATATAAGGCCTTCAAGATAGTGTTTGAATTATGGCCATTACAACTTTCTTTTCGTTTTCTCTTTCCTAAGGAATTTTACTTCCCTTCATTTCAATGGATCTCACCAGGCTGTGAATTATTAGTCCGTCACTCTTACCTAGCATCAGTTTTGTTCAATACTTGTTACTGTAGCATATGGATATGAAACTCTCAAAATGCTCATTAATTTCAGTGAAACCTGGTCTCCATGTTAAGCAGTAACCACATACATGGTGAAAAGAGTAGACCAAATAATTCAGATCCCAAGGCTTTTGCTGAGAAAATAAGTTGACATCYAGGATTTTCGGGGATCACCCTAACTAATTTATGTGTATGGATGCTGTAAGCTTTTCTATCAGGAGTGTCCCCATCAGGCCCTCTTTGTGCTTAGCTCTTAGAAAGATACATCCCTTACCATTTAATTGAGTACAAATCCTTCAGTTCTGAGAATGGAGAGATGKTTTACTAATCTCACCAATTTCAGAGCAAAATGTAAAAGGAGACTGCAGGCAAAATCGTCAGGAGCYTGCAAAGATGTGTAATATAATTCAAAGTGGATAGTCTTGGCAGTATTTAGATTAATTATTTCTTAAGATTTGCGGGGAAGTAGTCATTTTATAATTAATCAAAGTAAGTTCAAAAGTCACTGTAATAAAAGCTAGAGCGTTCTGACTGCTGGCTTGAATAATCCTTTTTTTAGTGCAGAAGAAGCTATATTGAAACATTATTTATCATCCATGACATACATTTTCCTTTGCTACTCAGTAATATTTTTTCATTTTATGAGCCTGTCAGCTTATCCTGTCCTTCCCATTGTTCAGCCTCAGGCACAACACTTCTCTCTTGATTTAATACTTATTTAAGTGAATTGCTTCTTCATATTCATTCTGTTAATTTTGAATTTTGTGTTTTTAAAACTTATTTCTACTCAGCATAATCTTTTTTTTTTCAAACTAGAGTGAATCTGCAGGTAACAAAGCTAGACCCTGCCCTTCAAATTTCTGCAGTTCTGTTGATTTTAACAGTTACATGATTTTAAATCAGCTGAGCATTTGACTTATCATTTYATATGTTAATTTCCATTTACTTTATAACCATGTGAAGGGAATGGTGAGTTCTTTACCCTCTTCTCAATTTGGGTTGTGCCATCAGTAGACAAGTCGTTTACATCAGCAAAGTTATGGTTATTTGTGACAGCTGGATGTGTAGTCATGTTCTTCATGTTGCACATCTTCTAAAACAACCAAACCTAAGTCTTTATTATTTTATTCTGTTTCATGTTTCATTATGGCTTTGACAGTAACAGGTAYGTTGTATGTGGGTTGAGATGATGTAAAATAACATTTGGGTTTATTTCAAATGTATTGTTCCTAATAGGTAAGTATTTCCTTGATATTGATGTTTTAGAAGGTAAATGCTACTAAAGATGCAGTGCTTGGAATCACAACATGGAATCACAATGTCCTCTTTGCTTCATAAATAATACAAAAAGCACTATCCATTAATCAGTTTTTTTTTCAGCCTTCATAAATGAAGTTAATCATTGCCCCTGGAAATGTCTGTGTTTTGTTTGTTATGCCCATTTCTCTGCAGGCCGAGTTGCTTCCCTTCTCGTTGATGCTGTCCCTCCAGAYCAAACAATTTCCATCCCATGCCAGCCTTCTCTAAGCTCTTCTCCTCTTTTCAAATCATTTCCTTTCCTACATGTTTTTAATCCAGTCTGCATGGCTTCTCTGTGCACTGTCACATTCAGTTACGTGACCACTTCTCTGTATCCTCTCCCTGACCCTTTTCTGCTGGACAGATCTAATGCCTTCCTTACCCACCATGTAGGTCCCATTTTATTCCCTGTTCTCAAGCACAGACAATGTGGAAGCAGGATAAAATACATTACTTCTCCCCAAATCCATCAGCAGGGGAGGCATTAGGGATCGGAGTATTATTTTCCATTTAAATCTGTTTAGCCTTCATGTTTTTGACACTCCCAGGGTGACTGCAGCGCTGGCCAATGGACATGACATCATGACTCCTAAGACACACAGACACCATAAGGGAAGTGAGTGAAAGACTCCAGAGTGCTGGGGGCTTGGGGGCTTTCCATGAGTCCCCCAACATCAGCTGAATTTTCCTCTTGTAAGAAAACCTGGTCAACAAAGGAAGAGTTTGAGCTTGAATCTCATGATCTCTGCCTATAAATCAGCCTATAAGGCATTCAGCACAACTGAAATTTGTAATGTGGTTGGTTTAAGTGCTGGCAGAGGAAAGCCTGAGAAGACTTGCATGTCCCAGTGTGTYGTTGAAGACTGACAGCCCCTGGCCTGGCCTGAATGATATCTCAGTGTGATTCACTCACCCCTCAGCATCTGAAGGCTTTCTCTTCAGGGTGGCACAGTATAAGAGTTTGGGCAAATGGGTTTAACCCCTTTTCCACTGCCTCTCCTTCATCTGAATAGCTTTTTTTTTTTTTTCCTTTAAAGGGCTTTTGTGACTACTGTCTGTGTAGCCTGCATAAATATGATGAAAWCTATATTGGTTTGATGAATGTAATTTAGCAGCTAACTTCATAACTGTGCAAAGTAGTCTTTTTCTATTGTTTTTTTTCTATATTTTTTCTATAACTTTTTCTGTACTTTTTTTCTATAACTTTCTTTCTATAATCTTTTACTGTTTTTATCAAATTCATTTTATTTTTAATCTGTTAAAAAGAACTCAGAATGTTTTCCCTCATTTTTATTTACATTTGATTCTCACCCAGCAGTTACTGTTCCCTATGAGGATACCTGCTGTAACATCTCGGTAGGGACATCACTAACTTGGAAGCCCAGAAACTTCCAGCCTTTTAAAAATGTGAATGTGAATCAGCATCATTTTCTAATGCTATATTTTACATTTGTTCATCCTTATTATTTCTAACACTGCACTTGAGGAGCAAATGCTGGCCTGTTTACTCACATAACCCATGCATCGTTTCTTTGTACCTCTCTCAGTAGGATTCTTTATGAGGAAAGATAGTCTCCTAGTGAGCAGGAAGCCTGGGAGGTGCCTCAGTCAAAGAGTGGTTTGTGCTGTTGTCTGAAAGGTTTAAAAGACACCCAGTGTCCTTCTGCAAAACCCTGTGCTGAAGGATCTACAGCATGAGCAGCTGCTGCTGTTGAAGTGTGGTCAAAAGAAGTGTTCTAATGGTCCTTGTAAGGGTCTATGTAAAATAAGGTCTCTATCTTAAACCATAACAAGACCTGTCTGAGGGCTATTGAAAGGAGAGTCTTTGAACATACATGTCCTTTGTATAAGCCATCATTGTATAATGCACTCTTAAATAGTACTGTATTCCATTGTAGCATAATAYAGGATAATATGATTCAACATACAACATCAGATTGCATTACCAAATATTCCTTTGTAATAATCTAATTATTGATATATATTGCATTGTGCTGTATATGGCATGCTTACTACAATTATAGTATTTCTAGAATATATGTATTTTACAGTTTATTACAACATTAATTATTCTTGTTTTCTCTTTGCAGGAAGTTCAAGAAAAGGCCTCTCTTTTTACTATGCAGTTGGACTTAAGTGGGGCAATTCCCAGCCTTATAGTTGCCTTTGTCATTGTAGCTAACGGGGATCGCCAGGGACGCAAAAGGTCTTTAGTTTTACCTTCGGTGGGAGCTCTGATTACAAATATCGCCTTCACTGCAATATCCTATTTTTCCCTGCCACTCTTTATCTTATATGGGGTGGCATTTATTACTGGACTGTTTGGGGGTATGGCAACTTTCCTTGGAGGAGGTTTTGCTTTTATAGCAGATCTGTGTCAGGACGAGAAGCAGAAAACAACACGAATAGCTGTGGTGGATTTGATCTTTGGTTTTGTGTCAGGGCTGGCAGGACTATCTTCTGGCTACTTTATAAAGGGAATAGGTTTTACATGGACATTTGTGACAGCAGCCCTGCTTCATGTCATTAATATTACCTATATTATATTTTGTCTGGAAGATACAGGAGGTGTATCTGAAGTCCAGCAACAGGATCCAGTATCTTGTAAAGATACTCTTAAAGAGACRTTCTCTGGAGTCTACATGCTTTTTAAAAATGCCCCTTTTAAAAAGAGAGTTTTAATCACTGTGCTACTGTTTACATTTATGACTTACTTGTTTACTGCGTTCGGTGGGGGCTCGCTTTTTACCCTGTATGAACTGGATGAGCCGCTCTGCTGGAATGAAGTGTACATTGGCTATGGAGCAGCTGCCTCTACTTCCATCTCTCTGACTAGTTTCTTAGGAGTTTACTTACTTTCTAAGCGTCTCAAGGACATTTATATTGTCTTTATTGGAATATTTTCTTACATTGGAGGAATGGTCATGGCTGCCTTTGCCAAAACTACTCTGCTCATGTTTCTAGGTGAGTTCAGAACCACGTGTTTTATGGTCAACAGTACRTATGAAAATACTGCTGTGTTAGCTATAGTTAATGCAGTTGGTAGGTATTGAGGTACCTAATTCAAAGGGTCCGAAAGAGGTAAAAGATACAAGATTGGGTCAGACTCATTTAGGGTTTATTTAAAAAAAAAAAAAAAAGAGTGTGGAAGGTGAACAAAATTACTTATTTATGGGTTTTAGTGGTATGCAGATATATCAGATTTATGATTTACTTTGTGCTTGGGTAATTGTGTCACAGTGCACTTCTGTTTTTTTTTCTATGACCTGTGCAGGGAACAGGGACAGGGACATTTTTCTATGAGTCTAGAGAACTCCGCACTGAAAACTGTTTGCATAATTTGCTCTGTATTTGTGAATTCACAGAAGTTTTTACCTGTAATGTTTCATGACTGATTCATTGCTTTACAGTGAGAATTCCATCTTTACTTTGCTTTATGCCTGTTCCTGTCTTACGATCCATGCTGTCAAAAGTTGTTCTTGCCAGGGAACAGGGTGAGTAGAAATTGTTTTTAAAATAAAATSTTGTTTCTTAACAGATGTGCTAAGGCTGCCTTTAAACAAACAGAAACGTATTCATACTTTAGGCTTACTTTTCTTTTAAAGTTCCATATAATAATTCTTAGTGATCGTATTAGTGATATTAGTGGCTTTTGGTATTTGAGTAAGATTGTGTTTTTAAAATACCCTGCAAGCTTCAACTTTGAAAGGAGACAGAGCTCTAAAAAAAAAAAAAGACCATGGGGAACATGAAACTGAGGAACGCTCAAGATTTGTTGTGGTTTGTACAGCTGTGGTTATACAAGAGCTTCTACATTTACCAGATTTTGACATGGAGAGAAAGGTACTGACTCCTGCTATTTAGTCAGCATCACATGAGAGTCAGCGTCACACAGCTCAGAGAGGTGAGCAGCAGATGGTTCAATTGCAAAAGCATTTCCAAATAAGCTGAGAGCTGTGTCCTGACTTACTTACCCTGCCTCATGGGTATCCATGGCCACCTGTACACTTCCCAAAGGATATATTACTTCTAGAAGTACTTTACCTAGTGAATCTCAGAAGAAAAAAGCTGAAGACATTTCTCAGAATGTCTGGTTCTATTTTGAGACACATCTTGATATAAAAAAAAAAAAAAGATACCTTCATCCTGGAGTGTGCTAACCTACACCTCTGCTCTTGCAGGATTTTTTGGCTTTCTTCACAGTTTTGGATACACAAGTAGGTTGATGCAGAGATCAGGTTGCCACTTGTCATCACTCGCTGTTCCCTATTGTGATTTTTTTCTTCAGCCCCATGAATTCGGATGAGTCAAGGGAAATGTGTTCAAAAGGGATGGTCTGCCATAGTAGTTCAGTACAAAACTCAGTAGTTCAGTACAACTACTACATAACTGAGTAGTTCAGTACAAAACTCATACAGATTGCATCCCCCTTTCATAAAGGAGTGATGTGCTTATGTGCTGAACCAGCAGTCTTTGCTGGGAAAGATTAGAAAAACACCACAGGGAAAACAAGAAAGGGAAGAATGAGAAAAGAGAAAGAATTGGAAGGGGTAAAGGGCTGAGCTTTGCAGAACACATAAGGGTGCATAGTTTGAACTYGACAAAGGTTCAGACTATCCCCCATGGAAGACATGGCCAGAGACAGATGATACTCGGGTGCTTGTTACTTGGGCAAATGCTAAAATATTGCAGGTAGAACTTTGTTAAATATCTTTCAAGACACGTTTGAGAACTTCAGCACTTTGAAAGGGGATTTGTTTTACTTGGTGTGTAATCCATCCATTTCTTTGGGCAGGTGCTGTCTTTGCTTGTATTGCCTGTTTGGAAGCTGTCACCCTGACTGTTTCGATTTCAGTTTTTAATAGTCTCTACGCAGCCACTGTTGCCTGGTTTTCAGGCTTCAGCTTCCTCTTGTCAGCAGCCCTTTGCCTGCTTCCACTGAGTGCACTATGGTGAGTAGGTGTCAGAGGGTTCGACCCAGCAATCTGACAGTGTTTACTGACATTTCTCACTTGCATGCTTTGAAGTCGAGTGGTTTAGTGCAGTAGTTCCCAAACTTGTCATGTTGTGATATATTGAGTGTATTTGTGCATGTCCCTCCTTTCAGTTTCCACCCAATTTGGGAACTGCTTACACAGAGCAAGCCTGGGAAGGTATTCTGGGAGCTGCTGGCAGTGAGGCAGAGCTGAGACTAGGGGCTGGAGCCATAGAAAGGTGCCTTCCATGAGACCATGGGAGAGGAGAGAGGGAGCCCATTGCTGAGAGGAGCTGCTCTCCGTGAGGTTTGTGATCAGCTCTTTGRCAGGAGGAACTCAGGTGCTTTTCTTGCTTTTCTTTCTTTACTACCTACCACCCATTTTGCTAGAAATCTCCCATCCAACTGGATCTCCCCAGTTGTGGCCCCAGTCCAGCTTCCTGCCCTCAGCTCTGTGCTGTGAATTTGTCACCTGCTTGCCCCAGACTGAAACCTATCCTGAATTTGCTCCCAGGAGGATACCCTCTASCTTGGCAGCATGAATGTGCCTTCCATTGGCTTGAGCCCTTTGCATGTGCCACAGAGAAAAGGTTTCATGTAGGGAAAAAAAGGTCCGTCCAGATACTTGGTCATAGATACCCCGAGAGGACGTGCCACTACAACCTGTAAAAGATCTGCACTAATATTAAGCCCCTTATAAAGAAGTCTCTAGATATGTTTAAAAAAATACACCTCCATGGTGTCCGAATACAATCTTAGCTAGGAATCTTCTAGTAGTACTCACAATGAAGGTTTTTCATCACTATTCACAGCTTTCTAGTATGAATTAATGTTTCTTTTGGGTGCTGGAACATAGACCTAAATGACAGAAGAAGCAGTTTTAATTATTTCTCACTTTCATTCAGAAAAAAAAAATACGCAATTTTTCTTAAGAGCACGGTACTTTTCATGGAAGTTTTAATCTATTTTTCCTAATGTCTCAATAGCTTTTTATCTATAGATCAGCTGCATTTTAATTTTTAAGGAGGCATTAAAAATGCTGCAGTTTTACAACATTTCACATTATTTCAAGTGTGTCTGCTTGACTGTTTTCCTCAACCTGTCCGGTGTAGCTGTACTGACAGTAACTTAAGAGTGACATAGTGATGGGTCTCAGGGCTAAGGAATTGAAGCAAAGGGATTGTGTGCTGAGGATGGAGAATAATTTCCAAGAAAGTAATAAAAAAGTGAGGACTTTGTTAGATGGCTGAAGGCCCAGTAAATACCTTCAATTTATAAAATAATAATTTCAGTTTGTTCAGTGCTCTATGAAAAAGTTACTGTTATAAAGCACTCTCTTCTATGCAAAGCATAATAAATATTTACCATTAAATGAGTCCATCCTGCATCCAGGGCTGTGGCCCATCCTCCTCGTAGAGTTTTGTAGGTTATTTCTCTTTTCCTTCTGTCCTTGGTGTTTCAGTTGCCTTGCCCCTTGAATAGCCTTTCTAAACCCATTCTTTAGAGAGTGTCATGCAGTGTTATTGCTCGAGAGCAGAAGCAGGAGCCTTGCCCCAGCCTGTAATAAATCCAACAGAGCAGCTCAGTGCTTTCCAAAGAGAGAAATGGCATTGTCTAACTCAGGCCATAGAGGCAAGTGCTGCCGTTATGGTTATTTGCTGAGACACGAGAACCGCTGAGCGCGAGYGTGGCAGCTCTCATGGAGCTCCATCAGCTCCTTGGCTATCATCTCACCTAAAGATATCCCTCTTATCTCTGTTTTACAGCTGGCTTCTGTGCACAAGCTGGAATGAGGAGGATTTGGCTCTACTTGTCCACGAAGAAGTCTCMAGCATTGAGAGCACTGACAGCTGAGCCAAGGATTCGCTCACCTGGGTKTTCTGATGTGACACGCGGCGGCTGGGACCGCTCTATCACACGCAGCAGAGACAACACAGCAATTAAAGATGCAATTTAAAGCGGCCCTGCAGCAATAACCACTAAACTGATAGCACCCTATTTCCAGTGTCTCCTTTTAGCACTTGAATTAGACTAACTCTTAACTATGCAAATAGGCTGGCAGTGGAGATTTTGATGCTGCTTTCAGCTTAAAGGAAAAAAACAAGGTAGGTGATGCTGCCTGTCCAGCTACTCGTTCTCAAGTGAGAAAATGTTAGTGGCATCTTGTACCTCTTATATCATTCTAAGTGGGGTGACAGCAGTAAGTTTATTTGCAGTAAGTTTATTACTGTCAGGAACTCTGCTGAAGCCAGTGGGTGTAAGTTGAAACCCAGGCAGTTCCATCTCCATGTGAGGAGGAACTTCTTCCCTGTGAGGGTGCCAGAGCCCTGGCACAGGCTGCCCAGGGAGGCTGTGGAGTCTCCTTCTCTGGRGATCTYCCAAACCCGCCTGGCTGCCGCCCTGTGCCCCGTGCTCTGGGTGTCCCTGYTGGAGCAGGGGGTTGSACTGGGTGATCTCKAGAGGTCCCTTCCAACCTCAGCCAGTCTGTGATTCTGTGATTCAGTGGAGCTCATGCCAGCAAAAGCTGCAGTCCACTGCATGTGGACATGGTAAAAGAGCTGCCTTACTGTGAAGCACAGTACTAAGCACAGAAGCACAGAACTGTCTAAAATTACTAAACTAAAAGGTACTTTTTTTTCAGAAGGCAGCCAAGCTGGATGAAATACTTGTATCAGGTGTAAGCTGCAGCTAGCAGAGAATGTTTGTGCAAGTTTAACTTGTGATGTGTGGGCTTTGCCTGTGACTTTGTCCTTAAAATTCGTTTTCACACTGAGCCGTCGTACTTTGAAAATAYCCGTCTTGCAGAGTGTGAAGTTAGGCCTCTGCCTGCATATTGCAGAGGCCACATTGCACATTTATTTTGAGATTATAAATGTATTATCCCTTTCTATGTAGTGGGGACTGAATACAGACATCTCACTTTTGACTGGAGACGAGAAGGCTCAGAGGGGATCTGATTAACATTTATAAGTTCAGGAAGGGAGAATGCAGGGAGGAAGGGGACAGGCTGYTCTCACTGGTGGCCAGCGATAGGACGAGGGGTAATGGCCACAAGCTGAAACACAAGAAGTTCCGTCTCCAGGTGAGGAGSAACTTCTTTACTGTKAGGGTGACAGAGCAGTGGAACAGGCTGCCCAGGGAGGTTGTGGAGTCTCCTACTCTGGAGGTCTTCAAAACCCGCCTGGATGCCACCSTGTGCCACATGCTSTAGGTGTGCCTGCTTGAGCAGGAAGGTTGGACTAGATGATCTGTAGAGGTCCCTTCCAACCTTAAATATTCTGTGAATCTGTGTGAATCTGTGACTCATGAAAATATTTGTTTTCCAGTTAACCTGGACTAYACTGGACTTACATATTTCTTCTAGTGAAAGGATATATATCTTTTCAGGGACTCTTTTGATTTTTTTTTTTTTTTATAACCCTGAAATAAGATGATCAAATCTGAACCATGCATCTAATCATCTTGCCATGAAGGCAGCATAATTTATTAGCACTTGTGTAGCATTTCTAACCTTCAAAGCACTTTAAAAATGCTGTTAAAGAACTTCCCCCTAAAACAGATATTCTCCATTTCAGAGAGCAATAAACAGAACAAGTGACTTGCCCTTGGCCACAGTGCAAATTAGTGAGAGCTCTAAACGCAGAAATCAGTGTCTGCTCCTCAGCCCTTCAGCTTTTTGCATGGGGGCTCTATGTAGAAACCAGCACAGCTTCTGGAACACACAGCACAGCAGTAGCATGAAGAGGATGGCCATGGTGAGGTCCACCCTCATGTGCTTTTTTCAGAGTTTTACTCCTCGTATTGCCCAGATTCCTCAAAGTACAGGTAGGTAGTTTGTGACTCTCTTCCCCCAAAACAGGTGAGGTAGAAAAAATCAAACTAGGATAAGTCGGTAGGCRTTCCCAAGAGGAAAACTGTAGGAAATCAACTGTGAGGTGGGAACTGACCTCACATGCACACAGCATAGGATAGAAATAAGGACAGTTGTGGTGTACGCTGTATCATCAGCGGTCTACAACCATGCAGTAATATCTATTATATGAACATATTGTTCCTGCAGAGCTCCTCAGTGCTGCTTTCCAAAAAAAATACCAGCACGTCAGCATGACAGGTCCTTTCCMTTTAAACTCCCCTGCTGTTTGCAGGCTGTGTCTGGTTGCCACTGTGAGGTTTGGGACRGGTTCAGACAAGGTCAAGGAGAGCTCGCACCGCCCAGCAGACACTGTCACTGGCAGAAAGCAGTTCAGCTGCCCCAGGATCAGGGCGAGGAGGTTCACGCAGCCAGTAAACACACCCAGCTCTCACTCTTGTCCTCAACTACCAGGCCTGATATTGGCCATGAAAGACCATTAGCTTTTGGGGTTTGGTTTAAAGACTAGTAAATAGAACAGCTTAACTCTCCGCCTGCACTGCCCGAGTCACTGCCAGGTTCTTGAGGAAGTGACCTCAGTTTCATGCTGATCCGTGGGTCCAAACATAGCAAGCACTTTCAAAGGGATGAATAAAAACTGATCTGAAGGACTTTGGCACAAAGGTTACATTGTCCTCCTTTCCTCTTTATGCAGTTACACGGGTATTTAGGAACTACTTCCTACAAAACTGCCTAGGAAAAAATAAAGCAAATCAAATAGGGACTGTTCCTTCCRGTCTTCATCTTCAGTGGAGGCCTCTGCTAGCACTGATGGTAGCAACAAAGAAATCTCATTCAGCAGCAACGTTCTGTTAGCCCAGTGAGAAATTTCACATTGCTTTGCTATGGTTCAGTCCTGCTGTACACGGTATCTGCTATTTGCAAAATAAGTGTGGCAAGTACAACTATTAAAAGCAACTGTAAATTAGGTGAAAACACAACACACACAAGAAATTAAGAGTCTTTCTGAAGTGCCTAGCATGATACAAATTGAAGAAACCAGATGCTCTTCTTTTTTGTTTTTTAAATCTAACTCCTCAGGTGATTGCAGTTTGTGTAACAAAGGCAAGCAATATTTTGACAAATTAATAAAGTGAAATTTGCTGTTTCAAACTCCAACGTGTAGTTGCAGTTCCTGAACTGATGACAAATAATCAGCAGGGTGGAGTTTAGGTAAACAGAAGCAGCACAAGTGTCATCTGCCAGGGCTTGGTGAGAGGAAACTGGCAAGAACACGAGCACCCATAGGAGGAAGGGGGCGTGTGAGAAGCCAGCAGGGCTTGAACTGTGTTTATTATGCYCAGACACACACAGAAAAGAAACAGCTGCCTGGAAGGGGGTGCAGATCAACACTTTCATACTCAGTTCCTGGAACTCTAGTTCTTGGCACTCCAGAGTCACTAAAAGCTGCTTAATAAATGTAGTTGCTATCCTAGGAACACCATTGAGGGCTCCCTGCAGATGACAAGGTGACAAAAGGTCCTTTTGGACTGCAGACCTTTTTCTCAAGTGGAAGCAAAAAGAAAGAGAACACTCGAGTCAGGGGCATAGGGTTTCAGATACCCCTACACACAATACAGTCAAACCTGGAAGAGAAGGAAATTGCCAAACTCTGTCCAGTTGCTCTCACTTGTCTGCAGTGCTATACAATCTTAGTTGTCTTGCAGAAGTTACACAGCATGACAGCAGAAAATAGTAACTGTTATACCTAAAAATCTAATGAAAATACCCAGTTAAACAGATAAGCCTCCAGTGGTCTACTCCATGTTTAAGGGTGTATGCAAGTGTAACTCCTTCCTTCTTCATTAAGGTCAGATTTTGGCAAACCCATATAAAATTGTGACCTAGTACCACTGTCTCCTCATGTTCCCACTGCAGCAGCTTTATTAGCTGCTAGCTATACAATATGCTATACAATATGCTCTCTTAATCTCTAACTAGTGAAATACCTGGATGAAGGGCTGCTCTTTGGAAGTGTATTCCCAAATGGATTTTAAAACACTTTGTTCAAGTCCAAGTGGAAGTTGCTTCCAGTTTCAGAAAATGGAATATCCTCTCAGGCACRGAGCTCAAATAAAATTCAGTCTTTTAACTCCTTGCTTTCGGTGGTACTTCCAAATCTGCACAAAATTACAGTGGCTCATTAATAAATCAACTAAGAGGAAGAAAATGTACATAGCAGGATTCCACTGGCAGTGGGGAAGCTACTGCAGATCTCTAAAGAAATTACGGAAGAAAAGAAGAATATGTTGGGGATAAATGATGCTTGATTTACAATTAAATATATTTTGGAACGCCACAGCATTTATAGCAAACTTTTATTCAGTGCTTAAAAAAAAGTATGGAAATTTTCATGAACAACGAGTTACCCAATGGAAAATATCTTCCCATTTAAAAAGTTCTTTTGCAAGAACGTGCATTCAATGTATTTAGCTACAGCAACCAGTCAAACTTCACGGGTATTTTTGGATTTTACATATATAGCATTTCCATAGTTGAGAAGCTATTGTCCTGAGCAGTGTACGAAGAAACATTATTTAATCTAAATACAGGACATTTCCATAATTAACAACAAGCACAAAACAATTCATAGACTTTAAACATTTAATGTGCCTTTTCATCAAGGAAGGCAAGTGATATCCGTTTAACACTGCGAGTGTCAATTCCGTATCATGCATTTGGGTCTGCAGTATAAAGACACGCACGGAACGTTTTCGTGGCGACCAGGCTCGGCGCGCGRGGCGTTACAACAAACCCAGCTTGTACTCGACCATCATGTGCGGCTCCCCCATGGCCTCGCTCTGCGARGGGTCTGAAAAGGCAGCAAAGACAAAACCCATCAACGTCAGGTGTCTGTGAAGCAGGAACTACTCACCCTATCACAGCCTGTCACAACTGATGGAGTTTGGTGTCCAGGACCCATCTTTTCACCCCCACTCGACCCATTTCACCACCACTGCTCCTCAGGGGTCTAACACAGGGGGAGCTCCAGGCTCCCCTCTAGCTGGAGGGATCCCCTGGTGGTTTCTCCTCTCCAGCTCTCTGCTCAGCTTCAAGGAAAATCTCACCCTTGAGCATCTATGAGATTTCCTCCAGTCTCTAAAGCAGGCTTGACATTAGGCCACAGAACTCTAAGGTTAGCAGAGGACAAGGCCAGGACACAGAAACACCCCAATACTGACACTACGATCCTAACTTCCATTAAAATAAAAAAGTTTTAAAAAGAAGGRAAAAAAGCAGCAACTATGCCCAGGAAGCAGCAACTGCTTCCTCGTAGGTACAGCACAGGACTTTCTTCCCACAGACAAGGTACATTTGTGCAGGAGCATCAAGAAATTACCAATACCAAAATTACCTCCCTTAGCCCTAGCTGACATGTAAGACTTTTCCRAGAGCAACTTTACCAGAGCACTTGTTGCTTCTATAAATTATAGCTTGCTGTGAACAATGAAAGACAAGCAAGTTCCTGTGATTCCTGTATTTTTTTTTTGACAGTGCTCTACTCCTTCAACCACAGTAACCTAAGATTCCTTCCCAAGCTCCCTATCAATCCGGTCCAGAAAAGATGGTTTCCCTCATGTATCCAGACTTCCACCTACCCCTCCAGTCATTTCACATTCCCTCTATCCCAGATTCGCTCCACTCTCTAGCCCTGTCTCAGGCCATTCCCTGCTTCCACTCATGGCCTTTACTACCAGCTGGACAAAAAGAAGATTCCTAAAAACAAAAATTAAATAATAATAAAAAGGCCAAGTTTATTTCATCCTACACTGTCCGACTGCCAGCAGCCCACACAGCTGCCAGTTCTTGAGCTAATCTTTCTCCCATCTCTGCTACATTAGTTAGGTAGCTCTCCTCCACCAAGCCTTTTTTCTTTTTAAATACAGAACTTGTGAAAACTTTGCATCTTTGAAGGCTCTGCTTGACAAAATTTGGGTAAATACTTCAAAAGTTTCAAAGACAGGTACTTAGCAAAACCATTAAAAGGTACAGCTTAAAAAAAAACAAATAAAGGTTYACTCCATATTTCAGAATAAAATTTCCACACAACCAGCAGCTGAATCACATTTACTTCTCCACCCCACAGAGTTTCTTTCACTTTGGGAATTTAACTTCTATCTGTATCTTGTTGTTTCTATTTTTTTTTTGCAATTCCTAGAAGTAACCAACTTATCACTCCCCSAATGTTACTGTTCAATTAATTTCAAGTAATTTTAGACAGCTAATAAGACATTTGAAAGAAAACAAATTTACCATTAAGAATATCCTCAAAACCAATGCTGTCATCATTTCCCCTCAGAGTATCCAGTGCTATGTTTGAGCTGTGAAGAAATGGGAGACGCTGGACCTGTAAGAAGATGGCAATGGTTTGTGCAAATCTGAATTTGAATTTTTGATTCAGATTTCTGAGTCTGAGGAACTCAGAAATAAKGAAAATGACACACAAAGCTACTTCTTACTTTTAAAACAATAAAACCAAGGTGGCTATTGGCCCATGCATCTATCACAGGCTATCCAAAATCAGTCTTTTGTTGTCTATCACTTCAGAGGAACAGCCTTTCACCAAATGTGCCATTTTTGCTATAGTTATTAAAAAATTAGGTGTTTTTCTGTCCCCCCCACCCATATTATTACAAAACAAGTAATGCGGTATATAGGGCATTCAGATCTGAAACACTCAGTACAGGATGGTTTATCCTCTACTCACAGTTACATTCACTATTGRGAGTGAAGCTTCGATTGTATCATGAGCACATTTTACAAGCACAGAAATATCACACAGCTTTTCTCTTTACACACAAAATAGACTGCAGGTATCAGATGTCTCATCGCCACGTGAGGAGGAACTTCTTGACTGTGAGGGTGCCAGAGCCCTGGAAGAGGCTGCCCAGGGAGGCTGTGGAGTCTCCTTCTCTGGAGATCTTCCAAACCCGCCTGGCTGCCACCCTGTGCCCCGTGCTCTGGGTGTCCCTGCTGGAGCAGGGGGTTGGACTAGATGATCTCTAGAGGTCCCTTCCAACCTCAACCAGTCTGTGATTCTGTGATCTGTAACTCCAAGTAGAAGAGTGAGAAGGGTCAAGGACACACGCTATTCCCCTTCCTATTTTGGACAGGTGAAATTCAACCACAGGGAAGCTTGTGTATCTAACATCAGAGACAAAAAGTCTGCAGTCAACAGTCTTCTAACCACCAGGTTTTTCCCCTGCTCAGGAACGCACAGAGAGACACATTAGCAGGATCTCTGTCCTCACCTGCCCTCTTCTCTATGTGCTAGCATCACTTAGGGAAGAAAGTCTTTCCTCACAGGACAGCACAGCTGAGATCAAGGCATGTTTTCATCTCCCAACTGCCTTTYCTATTTTCTAGACAACAGACTTTTACCCAGTTTTATGCAGCTTATTCTGACTCTTTGGAAACCTGATCCACTGGAAGAGGGCATGGAACCCACTTGGAAGAATTGACCTGACAACCTTCAACAAGCTAACAATCAAAACAAACCCCAAACAACCAAAAACCTCAAGGCCCAGCACATAACTAGGACTAATGTGCCTAAGGGATGAAGTCAGTCTCCAGCTACTCTCCATCACAAGAGGCAAGATGGGAAAGAAGGGAGACTCAGTTTTCCAAATAAAGCTAAAATTTTTGAAACTAAATCACCATAGAGGTCCCCAATCTTACAAGGCTGTGGAATAACAGCAAGCACAYATAAAATTCTCTGCCTTATGCTACAAGCTACCTTGATGGCTGCTCTCAAATCACCACCTGCTTTACAGCTCTGTGTCTCCTTTCCCTTCAGAGGCAGAGATTCCTTCCCATAAAGCTCACGAATTCCACAGAGGAGACACAAACTTAATTCCTCATTAATACTGAGCTGCATACTGAATACTCTTCTTCTAGGGCTCGTAGGAAGCCAGTCCACATAAAACAGGACATGCTTTTGTTTCACCAAATAATCACTAAGAAAATGCAGCTGAAAGGCTTTAGTATATACATTATTCTAGAAATTATGAATTCCAGTGTTTGGTTTTATTTTCTTTTATTAAAATTAGTTCATCATGAAAGTTTATCTTGGAAAAAGAAGACGGTTTTAATTTGATACAGGAAGATAGCTTTCCAAAAGCTTATTCATGCAGATAAAAATTCCCCCCAATGATTTAAATTATACCAGTTTAAGAAAAATGCCTACCTGCTTCACTGCTCTGAATTCCATCTGCAGCTTCAAAGATGCATGGAGTCCTTGAATATTTCTCAGTGTGGTGAAGTTTCTGTTATCTTGATTTAACTGGAACTATCACAAAGAACATTTTTTTAAAGAAAAGTACAGACACTGAAGATATGCTGTCTAAATAAATACACTCATTGAAATTTAGAACTAAAATTTAGTGACAGTCATAATGAACTGAAATATATTAGTATGATTGACATTGTATAAGTAATATTTAAAATCACAAAGATGCACTTAACTAGATACTTTTATTATAAATCAATAGTAGCAACTGCCCTTTTTTTCTTCTTTTCCTTTTTTTCTTCCTTTTTTATTACTTGTTTTTGACAATCAGGACATGCAACTCCACCAAGTGGCTTAGTTGTGTACTACTTTAGTATTAGCACATACATGGGCAAATAAGCTTGAAGTAAAAACACAAACCAGAAAACCATACTACTACTTTTAGTCACTGAAGCTTGTACTTCAAAACATTTGAAAAGCATTTTTTTTCTGATTAAGTGGGAAAACAGAACATCACATCCACTCCTTAAGACTCAGGAAAGCAAGAGACTGCTCTTATCAGCTTTAGAGCAGCTGGCAAGATAAGATGAACAAYGTGCACATTTTGACATTATTTTACTATTTAGTTCTATAGTTTGGAACACTGTATCCAAGTACTACATTTGCTTCTAGACAAAAGGTACCAAAGGCTTCTGAGCTGACAAAACAGGCATTATGAAATGAGATTCTGCTCAACTTGTTACTTAGGCAAGGCCGTAAATCCAGGCTCCCTTCATGGCAATGTAATTCTTCCACCTATGGTCCACAAGCCATGACTAGTTAGACATGACTGGATATACTTAGCACAAACTGTACATGGGAGACTTCTAGATGGGCTCAAGAAATTCAATGAAAAGTATTTCTGGGTTTACAAGCTCAAAGTCCAACAGTGAAGGTATATAGTAAACCATAATAAAGCAGAATGGTGAGAACTGCCTTCTGTAGGTGACAGGTCTTTCCCTCTCTCTTTCCCTATAGAGGAACTATAGAGGCTGCACATACAACTTACTGACTTTCAGATAGCCAAGTCTTTCCAAAATAAAGCCAATATGGAAGCCTGTTTACATACTTAAAGAGAAGCACAAGTGGGAGGCTACATGTTAAACAATTTTGCCAARAATGTTCCTGGCATAAATGAAGTGTCAGGGCTTCGAGTATCCATTGGAGACTGGAACTTGCTCATTCCTGGTTGCTGCACAAAGCAGGTGGGTAACTAGACTGCTAAATTACACCTCTTAATTAAGCACAAAGATGACACATTTGATGTTATACTTGCATTTTTTTCCGACAGCTCCAGTGGATGGCTGGGCAACAATTCACTTTTCACACTTGTAAAGCTATAAAGGCAATAAAACACTGTAATTAACAACAACAATCAGAAGAGCATTTTTAAGCTGCAGTTCAATACTAATTACAGATACAAAAATCAATCCAAAGATATAAGATCGGGATAGCTTTAGCTATTCAAAAATGATGCTTATTGATGAAGCAGCAAAACRGAACTCTTAGTTATAGCACTGTCAGAAAAAAAAGTCTCATATAAGAATTTCGGGCATCTTTTACACTTCAGTTTTACATCCAAAATAAAGGAGTAATACTTTTTTTCCTTCATTTCCTTCAGAAATAGGGAAATATAGGAATAACTGCACACACAGTTTAATGAAGAAAAGTCTCCAATTCTTTTAAGTTCCTTCAGACTGAATATTGCACCTGCTTTCCCCTCTGTAGCATCCATGTTTCAAACTCCACAGAATTATTAGATTCATTATTCAATACATGTACATAGCTTTGCCACTCATTTAAGGTTTTTAATTAAAAATATACTACTTTTATAATAGTAGCTTTCCTTTCTGTACCAATACTAAGAAATCCACCATGTCACGCAGTTCTATGGTACATACTCATATACAACAACCAGAATATGTTTCATAATGATTGAGACTTCACCATTACTTTCTAAAAGCACCAAATCAGTCAAAGTCCATTAATATTATCTACTTCTTGAAGTGATGCTTAGCCAAAAGCTTCAAAGACAACCTGACTAAAAAGAGGTGCTTTATGCAAAGCGGTTTAGAAACACATCTACTCAGAAACTTAGCCAAAAGAAGTTTTTTAATTCTTTTTAATTCTTTTTGTTCTTTCTTCCTCTCTCTGAAGTTTTACACTGACTACTGCACAGTCTATGAAGAATCACTAAAACTAACCCTCTGCGCAGAAGATCTTGACCTCCAAATGGAACAATAGTTGAAAAATCCATAAYTGGGATGCCATCCTTCATCAAAGAGGTAGTCCCAATGGGATCCTGCAACAGAGAGTCATGGTTAGTTTTACAGTGCCAGGCCCCATTTGTGCCCAAATAAAACTTATAAAAATCTTTTTAAAAAAAAAAGTAGTTCGACATCTTGATCTGCTCAGGTACATCTCTTAATAGTTGGCTCTTTTTTGAGGGAGGGAGAGCAACCACTAAACTGCACYAAACTGTCTGGCAGTTTGATAATATATAACTTAAGGGAAGCATTTTGGGGAGCTGGCTGAAACCAGCTACAATGGCTGATGATACTGAGGGAATTCTAGGGCTGCTCGCACAAAAACCCACGGCAAATCCGCCAACTCTCCTCCCCGGGAGGCGACCGCCCCGCGGCGGCTCGAGGCCCGGCGGCAGCTGCGGGAGCCCGGGGCCTCCAAGGCCGCCGAGCGGGCCCGGCCGCCCCGCGCTGCCGCCATGGCGCCCCGTGACTCAGCAGGGCGCGGCGGCCGGCGCCCCGCCGCCCGCTGGGACCCCAGCGGCCGCGGGAGGATTGAGCGGCCCGAGGGAGGAGGACGGCGGAGGAGGGAGGGGAGGCCGCGGCCCCGCGCACGCGAGCGGCGCCCCGAGCCCGCGCTCACCATCTTGGCCCGACACGCGCCGCCACTTCCGCCGCCTCCGCCGCCACTTCCGCCCTCCCCCCCCCGGCACGCTGCGTCACGCGCGGGGAGGGGCCGACAGGGGAGGGGCGGGGTCTCCCTGGGGGCGGGGTCTCGCCGGGGTGGGGCGGGGCCTTGCTGGGGGCGGGGGCCCGAGGTGGCGGTTGGTGGCGGCGGGAAGCGTGAGGGGGCGGCGGTTGCTGCGCAGCTCTGAGGTTTATACCTCAAAAACCAGCGCTTTTGAGGCCAGACAGCCCCAAACCCATCCCCCCCAGAGGGGGCCGGGTGGCTACACGGTGGTGGCGCTGGGGGACGGAGTCCTCACTCGCCAAGGGCAGCTCTGGGRCCAAAGCTGCCGCCCCTCAGCACTGAGAGAGCAGCTGGGACAGACCCGTGGCCTCCACAAACCGGAGGGGAGAGCTGAGCCCGCCCCAGCGACAGTAACTGATCAGCCACCACACTTGTTCCTCGGCCCTCTCAAAAGCCTGCTCGGTCGCCAGTAGGAAACCTGCGGCAGAGGCTGCTGTGCTTTGGCAGCCGTGCATGTGGCTTGTGCYTCTTCACAGGCCCCTTCTGGGGCTCGTGGCCACCTCAAACTCTGCCTGAGTTGTTGCCTCAACTCAGCTTTTGCCCCAGATCGCCCTCCTGCCATGAATTTCAAGCATACCCTGCTGCCASGAATGCTACATGCCACAGGGGGGAAAAAAAAGTGATATTAACATAGGAATCATATATATATTAATAGCACACTCGGCCTTGGGATAATATTGAACTGCAGGGAAAATCATACCCTTTTTTTTGTTAGCCTCCCTCTTGAGCAGAATCAGGTCACCAGTTCAAAAATTGCCTCAGACCAAAGTTAGGGCCCTCTAGATGAAGGTCTTAGGTTTAAAGCTAAGACTTCAAAAGAATGGGAATGSAAGACTGGGGGTTTAAATTATTTTTAGGAAAATGGGTACCACAAAGGCTTCTCTGATCTTGTAATTATAATGGGTACTCGGATATTGTGAAGCTGGGCTCATTATTATAGAATAGATGTGAATACAAGAAAACAAATCAAGTTCCTGTTTAGCTGCAGCTTACAGAAAAGCTAGGTTTGTCACTAAACCTATTTATTTATTGATCGTTGCTCAGGATATGACTGTGGAGATGAAACATGGAACTTTCAAAGTCGTTTCTGCAGGACACAGACAGGATACGATCACTCCATGTACTGCTACGGACATTCACGGCCATCCATAGTTTAGGCTGCATGACATAAAAAGAATGCACATTGCAAGAAAGAGCTGGTTTTCCTTTAAAGCCAGGCCTTCTCGCTAGGGAAAACTCCCAGACATAAACACAAAATCACAGTGGCTTTTTCTCAATCGAATTGCCAACCGGCTTAAATTTGATCTGAGTTTGGTTTCCTCTCAGGGTCTTCGTGCTGGGGGGCTGCAGTGTCTCTTGTTCCTTTAACCCGTCTGTGCTTCCAATATCCATTAATAGGAATTGCGTGAGCACTTGGCCTGCCCCAAAACAACTTCCAGGCTCATGGAAACAGGGTGGAAAGTGGGATGCGGTGGTGATGGTTCTTTTAGACCACACAGACACCCTAGAATTAGCATGAAAATCACTCCTCCTCTAAGATTATTACCCTGGTGATGTTTTGATGGTGAATTTCACATGTTGTTCTTAAAGACAACCCTCAAATTACTACTTTCTAATGATTTTTTTCCAACTTTTCACACAAAGAAGCTCCAAAATGTATGAATGCTTTAAATTTCTTCCTGCTGGTTTTTTACCTCAGGATTCTTGGAATGCCAAATCTGGTCTCTTTGGTTTAGCTGGGGACTTACCAGGGGTTTGAAAGGTATATAGACCATGAAGTCTGATGTCTTTTAGAAATGAGGCAAGTGTTGACTATTTTTTAAATAATTACAAAACTTTGTTTCAAATAGTCTTTTGGCAATTAAATCRGTATTAACAAACACGAAACCTCGCTCAACAAGGTTTGAGACACGCCWGACTTAAAGGTTGGCCTCAGTGACCAAGCTCGTTCTTTGGTTTCAGGGGATTTCTCCACTTTGCCACTGGTGTCTGTGGCACCGAGAGACTTCTCCCGAGTGGACTCAGGCGCATCCAGGCCTGCTCTGCCTGGGATACATGGAAGGCAGCTGCCCCATTAAAGCAGTTTTTCAGCTAAAACATCCCAGCCTCACTGAATTAAAGGGCACTTCATCCTTGGAGCTTTTTTATGCATTATAACGGATAGAAGAGAGCACAACCCCCGTTCTTCAGCACCACAGGCCCTATTTTATAAAGAGTATATTGCCCACGGGAAGCTGCCTTTGTGTCAACCTTTCCTGATGCTGCTGTTGCTTTGTCGCTCCTCGGAATCCAATTCCTTGGCCGTGTCCGTGGGCAGGCGGCTCTGAGTACGTGAACCTCTATCACAAGCCAACCTTGATCCTGTGGGGCTGGGAAGCTCTTTCCCTGGGTTCTGTCAACAGCCACTTAGAACCTGTTAAAGTGAAAGTACTTKTTATTTGTTTTTAATCGAATCAAATAAACAGATTTTCTTTGATCTGTAAGAGACCTTTTCTTGTGAAACTCGCTTTATACTTTTATGTTTCAGCATTCATTGTAAATCTAATTATTTGAGAAGTTATTTTGTTTTAAATTATTAAACCTTTTCTGAATTTAAGATAAACAGAGGCGTGTTTTGTTAGAGATTAAAAATAAATTTCACACAAAAGTGCAAAACGTAGCAAAGATAATAATGTGTAGGCGTCAGAGTGTTCCAAAACAAGACTCTCTAGGGGCTCTTCTAAACACACGGCTACGTTAAAACCATGTTCTGAAAAGGCTCAGGAAACCCCTGACTCTAACCCACCCTTTCCTGAAACTGGTGAAAGTATTTGGAAAAAAAAAGTTACTGTTGCAAGGAAAAAAAAAAAAGAATTAAAATCCCACTTATTGCCAAAGCAGATGATTTTTTCCTGTTTGTTTGTTAGCAAAATCTAATAACCTTGCAGGATTTTCCTCTCTTTTTTTTTGAATCAAGACGTATTCATCCTGATTCCAGCAAACAGTCCAACACTGGACAAACAAACCCTATATATTATACTCTTGCTATGAAATGTAGAACGTATTAATGTGCTTGCAGYGGCCAGTGGGGGAAGCAATACCAACATCTCCCTGCTCCATTTAGGGGGTATTAGTTAATTTTAAGCGAAGCAATGATATCTTTTTAACAAATATCTCCAGCTGCAKCTTTGGCCCGTGAAACCAGGGCTGCCAGTTGCTTTACAGCCCAGGAAAGCTGCTTGCAAAGGGGCCCGTGCTGCTTGGAGCGGTGACTTTCTTTATCGCTTGTGTCAGTCTACGCTTGGCACCCGCAATCCCGCTCCTGTATTCGCAGTAATCCCAGGTTTTTCGGCCCTGCGGGTCTGTTTTCGGCTCTCGTCCCCCCAGGGCTGGGGAGGCTGCAGCGGGAGCGCAGGGCGCTAGAGGCTGCTCAGCAGCCACCGCTTCCCGCCGCTTCCCGCCGCTCTAGCCGGGCACCGGACACTCTCTGCGGAGCAGTTTCGCCTTCCCTTGCAGTGCTCAGTTCCTCGCCGAGTAATAAGGCCAAACACCAAAAAWAAATGCATAAATAAAGCGTGTGTGGAGCTAAAGCTGCGAGTGCTCTCACTGGGGGAGGGCTGCCGGGAGCCCTTYGCTCACAGCCTCGGTTGCCTCATGAGAATTCGCGTTTTTCCCTATTTTGTCTCTTCCCTCAGGCTGGAGCAACCAACCGGCCTCCCATGTGCTGTCCTGCACRTATAGGTGAGACTAAGCACCTTTCCTGTGAGCGGGGCCTTCCTAAGGGAAGCCCTGAATGTAATGAGTAGTACTCATGGCTGAAAGGATTGAATGGAACTTTGCTTCCCATTCCTGCTACTGGGCAGCAAAAAATTCCCCCCGGGAGCTTGCCAAAAAGCCTAACAGTGCGAGGGGAGCCTGGGACCCCTCCGCGTCACAACCATGCACAGAAACTATGCACAGAAAATTTTCTCCCTGCTGCTTTCTCCAATCCTTTTGAAAGCAAAAGGGTGGCACAGCTTCTGATCCAAGCACCACGTGCTTCCTGAGAATGCTGTCTATGATTTATCCCACCACGGGAATGCTGGTGGCCGGTCTTGAAACAGTTAAGGCTCAGATCTCCCAAGTTAATTACGTGTGGAGCTCAGGATTTGAGCCAAAGCGCCTGAGCAAAAGCAGAAGCAGGTCTAGAACCTCCTGAATTTGGGCCAAGCTTGGACYTAGACCAGACTTAGCTCTGGTGGGTGACTCACTTCTGAGAAAACTGCAGGGCAGTTTTTGCCTGCACCTAAGCAGAAGCTGCAGGTTGCAGGAGGCGGCCTGTGCACTCTCCCTGGCGCTAGCAGGGAAATTTCTGCTCCTTCCTAGGTGCTGAGCATAGGTGCAAGGATCCAGCTGAGTCCAGCCTAGGTGCAAGGATCCAGCTGAGTCAAGCTCGCCGGATCACGGCTCGGGCGAAACCACAATGTCATTTTTATGCTGCAGAATTATGACAGCAGCTCTTCAGGAAGAGCTTTTCCTAAATTCAAAGCTATTACACTGTAAAGGGTGTTGGCAGCTAATAAATTGTTTCTATGGAGAAAATAAGGTACTTAGAATTCTGGGTTCGCTTCTCTTTGTGGAAACTATGACTATACATTTTCCGTGGATGATTTTATTCATACTTCCTAGCCGCAGGTTTTCAACACAATTGTTTGAACTTTTTTGCTTCTTTTATTATATCTCTCTGCTTCTGAGGCTGTACAGCTATCCACTTTTGGAAATGAATTACTTTTTTTTTTTTAGTTATATTTCTTATAGTAACAGCTTAAATAATGTCTCTGTGTCCAATTGCAATTCTGCAGTTGAAAGTTGCAGAAAATGTGCTGCCGGAACCATATTTTACAGTGAGAGATTTCGTATGCAGGTTATATAGCGTAGTTAGGAAGTGCTCCTGACAGAAACTGTCAGTGA